ATGTCAGAACTCCGGATTCTTTCTCTCATTTGAGTGAAACGTGATATTCCAAGCATAGCTCTTTCTATTCTTCTTTGGGAGACCTGAATAGCGTTCTCATCTTGTTTGCGTAGGGCCCAGGTCTCTGAGGCATATGTTAATGCAGGAAAAACAGTGGAATCAAAGAGATGTGCCCGGAGCCGGAGGTTCTTCATCCTCTTAGCTATTTCTTCGACGTTCTTGAAGGCGTTCCAAGCTGCTCTCTTCCTCCTGCGCAGCTCGGGTGCCAGGTCATTTGTCATGTTGACCTCTCAACCTAGGTACACATAGCTGTTGCATTCGGAGATGGTCGTTACATTGAGAGCGAATGGGGCGTCAGGAACAAGGCTGTTTCTCATAAACATTGTCTTCGTAAGATTCAGCTTTAGTCCTACCTTTCCACACTCACGGTCAAAGTCGGCCAGCATTTGTGCCGCTTGGCTGATGTTTGGTGTTATTAAAACAATGTCATCAGCAAAGCGGAGGTGGTGTAGTTGCCGACCATCTATCTTCACTCCCATTCCTTCCCATTCCAGTCGTCGCATGATGTTCTCAAGGGTGGCACTGAAGAGTTTCGGTGAAATGGTATCACCCTGCTGCACCCCTCTCTTGACATCAACGGTCACTTCTTTGTAGAATGGTGAGATCCTGGTAGTGAATCCGCAATACAGCTCACGGAGGATCCTGATGTATTGGGCTTGAATGCCCTGATTGGCTAGGGCTTCAATGACCGCTTCCGTCTCAACAGAATCAAAGGCCTTCTTTAAATCAATGAACGTTAAACAGAGCGGCATCTTGAACTCCCGAGAAACCTCAATGAGCTTGGTTATTGTGTGGATATGGTCGATGGTGCTGAATCCTTTGCGGAACCCTGCTTGCTCGCATGGTTGTCCTTCATCTAGTGTTCTGCCAATCCTATTTAGGATGACTCGAGTGAACAACTTGTAGATGACAGACAATAGGCAGATCGGGCGATAGTTGCCAATGTCATGGATGTCTCCCTTCTTGAACAGTAGTACGGTCCTGCTGGTTTTCCATTGGGACGGAACCTTGCATTCAGACAGGTAGCGAGTGAAGGGCCGAGCCAGTGTATTGATGAGTACTGACGGCAGGTTCTTCAGGTGTTCAGGTCTGACCTTGTCTGGGCCGGGTGCTGTTTGTTTCTTTACCGACGAAATGGCTTGTCGGATTTCGGAAGGGAGAACGTTGGGAACGACATATCCATCCTGTGGAATTTGGCAAGTGGACATGGCTATCGAAGAGATTTGAGTAGAAGTCATGGATAATCTTCTCCATTGCCATTCTGGAGGATGTGGTGGATCCATCAGGACGTCGGAGGGCAGTCATCTTGGTCTTATAGTTGGCGAAGGACAGGCGGGCGTTACGAATACTTTTCCCGGCTTCTGCCACATCTACCAGTACTTCTGCTCTTCTCTTTTTGAGGTCTTCCTTGATCGCATCTCTGCACTGCTTTTCGAGCTCGGACGTTAGCTTGCGGTTGCCTGAGGCATGCGCCAAACCACGCTGGCGAATTAGCTCAAGAGTTTTCGAAGATAGGCGATTTTTTGTGGTTATCTCTCTCTTGGCGTTCCTCGCACATTCATGGAGGTGCTGAACCAGTCGATTGTATTCCTCGTCAATGTTGTCAACAATGGCATCTTCCCATGTTGCCGCAATAGTACAAAGAGTTCCCAGTTGGTGGTCATTCTGGGAGTTCTCTTTTTGAACTTTGCAGCCCTTTCTCCCCGCTCTGTGAAGTAGAATTTTGCACGAAGGAGACGGTGGTCCGATCCCGTTCGAAATTTTGGGACAACAGCGACATCGGTCAGGCAAAACCGTCGATTGAATATGATGTGGTCTATTTCGTTGTGGAATCGTCCACCGGGAGACTCCCATGTCCATCGTTTAGATTCTGCCTTCTGGAACTGTGAGTTACCATGAATGGTCTTGGTCGACATGATGAACTCAGACAGTCTCTCACCCTGTTCGTTCCATTCTAGGCCATGGGTCCCGATGTGAAGTTCTTCAGCTGATCTTCTCGGTCCTATCTTGGCATTAAAATCACCCACAATGATCTTGTAGAAGGTGTGGTCTTCTTTATAGAACTTCTCTAGCTCCATGTAGAACTTCTCGATTTCTCTTTCATCATAATGAGATGTTGGTGCGTAGACAACGAAGATAGAAACTGCAGGCAGTGAGCCACATCTATTCAAATGTAAACGTCCGATTCGGGTTGTTAGGCATTCGAATGAATCAATGCTCTTGGCCAAGTTTGTGTCAACACGCCTCCAACACCTCTTTTATCGCATGTTCCGAGGAACAATTCTTCTCCAGTGTCGAAAACGGCATGGTGAGATTCGTGTCTTCTTGTCTCGGTCAGACCAATGATGTCGTACTTGATCATTCACGCTTGTACCATCAGGTCCTCGATGGATGCATCTGATGCTAGTGTACGTGCATTGAAAGTACAGATGATCATTTTTGTCTTCCTTCGTAGTGGCAGCCTAGGTCGGCCTTGAGATTTTGTCGGCCTCTCCTTTCTCATCCTTCTCAGTGCTGCCATGTCGGTGAAGCCTTCAGGGTCAGGTGAATGAGACCAGTTGTAGTTACTGGTTTTGGCATATCGAATACACAACGGATAGCTTGCCAGGCTCTTCCGTGTGGGCAGAATACTCTCGGTAGCTTGCCAGTCTTTCCGAGAGGGATAGAGGCTTTTGGGGTGACCTCTAATCACCCTTGTAGGTGTTACCATATTTGAACCCTATCAAATATGGTACGACAATTCCAGAAGATGGGTATTTAGTGTCTTATGATGGGCGGCTCCGCGGGTCCGGAATGCGTCCTGGAGTGTGGCGACGGCTGGGTAGTGGAAGTAGTGTCCATGTCAACATCAATACTATCTATTCCTTTATTTTTAGAGCAGATGAGTGATATCATCTTTATAATCCCAAATTTTGGAGAACAAGGTTCTTATTACCTATGGTGGTTCTAGCAAGCATAGGAGCTTAGACAGATGCCTCTGCATGGTGAGGGGCTGGATGCTGGTAGCTACTAAGTATAAGCTTAAATGGACCAAAACCTACTACCCTCTCTTATGTCCTCTTTGCTGGATGCTGCAGCTGTTTTAAGAGACTAGTGTTTTCCAAAGTGAATGGTACTTACTTTCAGGGGGTGCTGGAACAATCTAGAGAGGGTAATACCAGCCTGTTTTTTGGCTAAATAAATTTCTGGAGAGGCACTGAGAATCTTTTTTTCTGAAAGAGGCAGAAGTTGGAGAACCTCTGCACTAACCCAGAGTTCCAAATAGTTCACTCAAGAAGCTTCAAGTTTCTTTTGTATTTATTAAGTTATCGTGATACTTGTTTGTGGAATATAAAATAACAGAATGGGAGACTAACACCCAAGAATAGTAGAGATAAGGACCAGGAGGATTGCTCCACAGCTTGGAAGCTGGCCTCACATGCTGGGGGAAAAGGCAGCTCAGCTAGAGAAGGGACCACCAAGTAAAGGATGCTTGGAGGACCCGCTCAGGATGGGAGATGTATAGTAAAGGTAGACTATAGACCGAACATGATGGCCACTTAATGCCTGTATTGCAAACCACAACACCCAAAGGGAGAAAGAGAGTAAAAGGGAATGTGTCTGACACAGAGGTGGGGTGGGGGGAAGGGATACTGGGAACATTGGTGGTGGAGAATGGGCACTGGTGGAAGGATGGGTACTTGATTATTGTTTGACTGAAACGTAAGCACGAAAGTTTGTAATCTGTAACTGTACAGTGATTCATTTTTTTTAAAAAAGTTACTGCAATAGATTTTGGGGGCCACATCTGGCAATACTCAGGGTTTACTACTGGCTCTGCACTCAGGGATCTCTCCTAGCAGAGCTCTAGGAACCATATGGGGTCCCAGGGATCAAACTTAGGTCAGTCGTATGCAAAGCAAATGCCCTACCAGCTGTACTATCTTTTTTGCACCTTCAATATCTTCTGGCAAATGATTTCCTACGGTTTCTAATTCCACCATTTCCCTGAACTCACCTTAAGGTAACTAGATTTTAAGACCAGAATAATGGGCCAGGGTGATAGTACAGTGGGTAGGTCATTTGCCTTGCAGGCAGCTCACCTGAGTTCGATTACTGGCATCTCATGTGGTCCCCTGAACACTGCCAGGAGTAATTCCTGAGTGCAGAGACAGAAATAAGCCCTGAGCATCACCAGGTATGACCCAAAAAGAAAAAAAAAAGACCAGAATGAAACACTGGAAGTTGCACTCTTATTCAAAAGCTATTTCAGTCCCCTTCAAAAAACTCACAATTCACAGGCTTAATTGATTCAACCAGCCATGCCACTGCTGGTGTCATTTCAGTTAGGCAATAACTGTAACTTCTCTATAACCACAGCGGGAGTCTCTCACTCCTGCAACTTCTGAGTTCATTCTGAACTCCCTTGAACAATCCATTATTATCCTATCCAGGGGCCAGCGGCATGAATGGCACTGCTCACTGCAGCTTAGGACAGACCATGGGACTGACCCCTTAGCTAGTATTGACAGTTTATTCTGTTCACCTTCAGGACAGAATCAGGAGAATATTTTCTGCAGCTGAAACACAATTTTTTAAAATAAAAAAATGGCCACAAAGACCATTTTGGTGTGGGAGCTATGATAAAATTAGTTTTCGTGGGGGTTTCTAAGGTGCTCAGGAGGTCCTGGGGCCTCTCTCTGAGATTCTCAGTCAGCTGCGCTGGTGGTTCAATATGAGGCCAGAGGATGTGGTGCCTCATATTGAACCACCAGGGATATATCGTGCCAGGGATTAGCTGGGTCATCCTGTCAGTGCTCAGGGAATCTCTAGAGTATACCCTGTGGTGCCAGGATCAAGCTGGAGTCAGTCCGATGCAGGCCTTCACCCTTGTAATGATAGAATTATTTTGTTTGGTTGGTTTTGTTTTGGGGGACCAAAACCAGCAATTTACCATTAGGCTATAGTCAGGCTTACTATGGATACCTTTCCAGGATGGATCAAGTCTTGATCCAGGATGGATCAAGTCTCCTGACATTAAATCTTTTCATTCATACAAAGATTTTCAACAAAAGGTTTTTTTTTATTTTCTGCATTATTATTTATACAGCTGTAAACTCAGGATTCATCCAAAATGTATATAAGTCTGGGGAACAGTTAATAAGCACCTTTAATGGTTTCCACAGCTTAAGAGTTCACCACTAGAACACTTTAGAATTAATGTAATAAAATGAATAGTTAAAAATTAAACAAACTTATGATGAACATTTGATATAGAGGGATTGATACATGTTGGTAAATATAAAAAAGAAAAGTGAAACTTATTTATGGGATTTGTCTATATAAAAATGATGTGTTCCCCCAATTCTGTGATTTCTGGGGATATATATCCATCTCTTAAGTAGCCTCTAATTATTCAAGGTGTGTGTGTGTGTGTGTGTGTGTGTGTGTGTGTGTGTGTGTGGTGTAAAAGAGATAAGGAGAGAGATCTTTTCCTTAAAGACAAACAGCCAAATTCTTCTATGTGCTTACATCCTTAAATATAATTGTTCTTTGGCAAAATGTTCCATTTTATCTTTGGATTTATCTAAGGGTTTTCCTAATTGATCTTGTGAAATCCTCCTCTACCCTTTCCTCTTGGATTTACATTTTTGCTTTTTAGCAACTGTTGCTAAAAATACCTTTTACTGAATATTTTCTACTCTCTTACCCAAATTTTTACTGAACCAAACACCTTGTGCTCAGCTTTCAAACCAATGTTTCTATTGCTTTAGGACTCCGGGAAGCAATTAATCAAAAGCACTAACACTAACTACTCATATAGTCCTGAGATGTTTTCCAGATAAACATAGAAACATAAACATGAAGTGTGGCAATGGGTACTTTAATTACACAACGAACCATAAAGGGTCTGGCACACTAGTATAAACATTCAGTTTGGCCCTTGTGAACTATATCTTTGGATGAGAATACAGCAAGCAAGGGCCATGAATAAAGGAAGAGACAATGGAGAGGTGAGCTCATGGAGGATTGTAGATTGGCCCTCCTGAGTGAAGGCCAGATGAGAGATTGGGGGAGGGCTCTTATCACTGGTACCATCTCCAGCTATGCCTCAAATGCATTTTTCCGAGGAGGCTGCACATCAGTGCCAGAAGTGGGGCCCAAGAGACCAGAAGCTGGGATTTAGCTGCTTTGGAAAAAGAGGAATAATACAGCAATCTTTGGATAATTTAAGGCACATCAAAGAATCACCATCTTCAAACATCTGATTGTACACCATCAAATTCTGAACACTAGACACTCCTTCGATTTAACCTTATGCTACTACTGGAATCTCAACAACTTCTCTGGGAAAGGCTGCTCATTTTCACACACCAAATTCTCATATATTTCTAGATTAGGATGGTTTTAATCAAAAACAAGGCATACTCACTATTATGAAAGCCTTGGGGCAGGATAGAGTTGGTATAGAAGTTGGGGGCTAAAGCTAGAAATATATAGGAAGAAATCAGAGCACCAAGAAAAAAATTATGGGAGGGCCTAATCCCTCCTTTATTCACAGGCTCACGTTGGTGGCCCTGGCTGGTAGCTGAGGAGCTCACAGGGTGATTCAGAGTGAAGCTGAGCTCCTGAGGCCATGAGGAAGGAGGCAGCTCAGGCTTAGGGGAGGTTCTGCTCACCACTGGGTTGCTAAAGTTGGACGAAGGTGCCAGAACACTCACATAGGCATATAATCCTTACTCTAGGTGGTATAAGATTGTCTGAAGTTTGCGTTAGGGATTTTTTGTCTTTTGTAGGGATAGAGGCGTTCCCATTTCAGAAGTTCATAAAATATGCTTTGGGGAACAGTGAGGGGAAAATCGTTGGTGTTCAGACTGGGATGAATCTGAACCTGGTGGCCACTCTGCCACCAGAACAGACCGTTTTTTAGTCTGAACCCTTTCAAGTAGGGTGTTGCAGTGAAAATACATGGAGAGGGAACAAGGCACTCGTCTTCACTTCCGCTCAATACAGTCGACTCCCAGCGTGTTGTCAGGGCAGCGGCAGGTCCTACTTCCTGGGGTGGCCAAGCAGAGATGGGTGCAGCCGCCATTGTTCACAGAGCAGTAATTGTGACCTGGAAAAAGGAGAAATCAGCTCCACAGGCTGCTCAACAGTAATCAACAACCATACAGAGCCACGCAACAGTCAACAAATCAAATGGCCCTCTGATGAGCTCACTTCCAGCTTTCCATGACACCAAGCTCCATGGATTTTCCAAGGAAGACAGGGAAGGACATAGCTCATCTGACTACTGGCTGTTTTTTCATACTTGTATAAGAACTTACCAGACGGGCAAAAACACTGATTTTTTTTTTTTTCATTATTAAATAGAATTTATTTTTAAAGTTGTAGATTTACAATTTTTTGTGCTTTGGTTTCAATTATACAATGATCAGATACCCATCCCTCCACCAGTGCCCATTTTCCACCACCATGGATAATATCCCTCCCACCCCCATCCCCCCATCCCCCCGTCTCTGTGGCAGGGCAATCCCCTGTGTTCTCTCTCTCCTTTTGGGTGTTGTGGTCTGCAAAAGAGGCATTGAGTGGCAAACATGTTCAGTCCATAGTCTACTTTCGACATGCATCTCCCCTCCTGGGAGGATCCTCCAAACATCCTTTATTTGGTGCTCCCTTCTCTATCTGAATAGCCCTTTCCTCTAGGATACCCGGCTGGCCTCTAAGTTATGGAGTAATCCTCCTGGTGCTGATCTCAGCTATTCTTGGGTATTAATCTCATACTTTAAAACACTGATTCTTGGTTTGGGAGCTACACAAATATCAACTCCGAATATAATATGGAGTTGGAACTTCAGAATATGAAGTAGTCTGTATCTAACTTGCCCACTTAACCATATACTTGACTGAAGGACAGCATGGAAGCTAAGAAGAAAAGCAAGCTTGGGGCCATGTCTGGAGGAGGAAATAGCAGAGAACCCAGAGGCAGGCTGCTAGGCTGCCTGTTGGTACTGCCCCTTAGGCTACAGGACATGAGCCAGAAGCTTCAGTGTCTTTACTTAATTTGGTTTTTGTGTCATACGCAGATGTACTCAGGGCTTTCTCCTGGCTCTGCATTCAGGGATCACTCTTAGTAGGATTCAGGGGACCATATGGGTGACAGGGACTGAACTCAGGTCAGCTGCCTGCAAGGCAAGTGCCCTACCTGCTGTACCATCTCTCCAGTCCCCAATGTGTTCTTATTTCTAAAATCTTATAAAGTTGCTAAGAAGGTTAAGTGACCTAATAAATACTAAGTATTCATGAGTTCATTATGAAGTGCTCGGAGTAAGATAAGTGCCACATAAGTGTTTTCTATAATTTTTATTGTTATTTCTGTTAAATCAAACAGATGGACAGTTAGAGGGGCAGAGACCCTAACACGAATCTCTGTACATCTAGATCAGTGCACGAGTCAATCCTTTTCCTCACTCTTGTCCACTTTCCCCTTCATTCTCTATTGTTTTCTATGGATTTATCTAGCTCACCCACAAAATTATGAAGCGCCTATGTCTCACCTGCCATGTAATCAGGACCACCAGAGGCTGTAATATGACATCTGAGCATGAACCCTGAGCCTCAGAATGCTCTGATTCTTTTTTTAAATTTTCTTTTAATTTTTTTAATTGAGGTACTGTAATTTACAGTACCTCAAAGTTATTCATAGCCCATATTTACAATCAGCCATGATCAAATTTTATGTGCACAATTCTCCCAACATTAACCCAACACCAGTATCAGAGGCCACTCCAGCCTGGGCTCTGGGACCATATGGGGTACCAGGGACTGTACCTGGATCAGTCACATTGCAAGGTAAATGCTGTAACCACTGTCTATCGCTCTGGCTCCAGGATGCCCTGATTATTAAACTGACAAAGAACAGTGAGTTACCTTGGGGACACTGAGACAGGGCAGTAGTGATGCCATATAGCCGGGTCTGCTTGTGAGGGTGGAAGGTATCCATCTCTTTAGAAATAGCAAGATCTACAGCAACCACAGAATTCCTGCAGAACACGAAAGGTTAGAAGATCAAAATACATCTGATGTGTCTACAAGGCAATCCCTTTTAAAAACTGGGGGAAACTGAGGACATAAACCAAAACACTGGTCTTTTTCTAGACATCCCTTTCTCCTTTTGGGCTTGGTGTCTTAGATTAAGCAGTTCTTTGGTGTCTTAGAAAAGAACAAAGAGTAAATAACTCCCCTCCCATTCGACATTTTAAACTGAGAAATCAGCTTGTTGCACAGATGCTCTCAGTAGCTTTTTTGATCGAACCCCTCCTTTTTGCAGGAAGGAGTTGTGGGACCATCACAACTGAAGAACAGTAATGAAATAGGGTCTTGGAGACCAATCACCAGGTGACCCTGCGCCAGCTCCTGGAGAAGGAACAGACATGTTCAGGGATTCAAGAAATCCGCCCAATTTCAGAGCATCCCGGTGACAAACAGGACCTGCTGGGACAAAAGGAGCCTTGGCTCCTCTTCTTCACCCTCCGCATCTGCCCCCTGACACCAGGAGAGAGAGGCAAAGGGAGGATTTCTGCTGGCTGGATGGTCAAAGCCATAGGCCAGCTAGGAAGAGCCTGGCTTCCCAGAAACAGAGGGGGTGACCCCCAGCCTGGCACGCAGCAGCTGACGTACGTCTTCCAGTCTGTGTAATAGAGATTCTTCCCGAAGCCCGTCACCGCGAAAGGATACTGGAGCCCTTCAAGAACCCTGCGTCTGCTGTGCTGACCCGGCTTCAGGCATTCAGCCCGGTTGGTGCCTACATGGAGCAAAAACAAGTCGTTCATTGTTCATACTAGAAATGGACCCTTTGTATGAAAAATAAAAAAGGAAAGTAATGAGGGCAAGGGTGGGAGAAATTCAGTGTCACAACGGCCAATCCTAGAGAGCCCACAAGACAGCTCTTGAATACAGAAAAGTTGTCTCTTCAGTCTCTCTAGCTTCTCATTGGCCACACCCTTCTCGCCTCGGGCTCGTTATATCGAGGAGTTGTAAGCTGGAGCTGAGGGAATGCACCTGTTCTCCCCCACCCCTATTTCTGGAGAAGCTGGGGACTTCAAAGAACTGTGCCATTGGCGAGCAACTATTCCAATCCCTCCAGCCAGTACCTCTTCCTGAAGCCAGAGCTCTTGAGAACTGCATAACTGTGCCCCAGCCTGAGCAGCTGTGCACAGTCACATGTGTATGCTTGTATTCTGAGGATTAATGCCTGTGTTGTCATGTAACTGCACACTTCCCTCATGCTCCCCAAGTGCGTGATGCTGTCCCTGACTCCCCCAGAGCACCTCACATTTAAGAGTCTGTAACTGATCAGGTACTCAACAGAGATCTAATGGATGGTTGATGCTCCTCCCTGATACAGCATCCTGCCCTTGTCAAAAGACACCCCAAGTCTGCTGATGCGGAGGGATACTATCAGGGCTATATTACTTTATCTTCCTTGACTCTAAGTTCTGTCTAAGGCCTTGGGGTAAAAAAAAGCTACAGTAATGTAAAGAACAGCTTAACAGATACCAGGATATGGACAGACATAAAGGGGGTCAGAACATTTTTTTTCTTTAAGGGTCAGGTGGTAATTATTTTAGGCTTTGTGGACCAAAAAAAATGAGTCCATTCCACAACACCCAAAAGGAGAGAGAGAACAAAAGGGAATGCCCTGCCACAGAGACAGGGTGGGATGGGGGGATGGGGGTGGGAGGGATACTGGGATCCGTGGTGGTGGGAAATGGGCACTGGTGGAGGGATGGGTATTTGATCATTGTATAATCGAAACCCAAGCACAAAAATTTGTAAGTCTACAACTATCCCTCATGGTGTTTCACTAATAAAAATTTTAAAAAAATGAGTCCATTACATAGGTACTAGTACTTCATAATTTTATACTGTAGTATTTCAAAAGTGTAAAAACCAAGGCTGGAGATGTAGCTTAAGTATACAGTCCATGATTGGCCTGGGCGAGGCCCTGGGTTCAATCCCAGACATTGCCACATATGGGCTTGTTGGTCCCTGTGCCCAACAACTCTGGGAATAGCCCCCACAGCACTGAAACAAAATTTAAAACATCAAAACTATTTTGAGCAGGTTATACCAAAAACATGGGGATTGGGTTTGGCCTAAGTCCTGGATTTTGCTGACCTAGAGAGAAGATTGAGAAGATTAAGATGTTGGGAACTCTCCCCAGAGAGCAAGTCTAGAGGAGGAATTCATTTCACAACAAAGACGTGGAGCTACTTTGGTGTTGTGTTCAGGGATCACTCCTTGGCAGGGCTGGGGGGGTCCTTGGTGGTACCAGGAATCGAACCTGAGTTGACCACACAGAAGGCAAAGTGCCATGGCTGGGTCATGAGCAGCTATACTTGTGACGGTAAAAGACAAAACCAAACACAGTTATCTTAGGCCTTCTTCTCCAGAACAGATCCTCTGGGCTGGATGACAGTGGGGAACCATAGTGGCTGGGTAAAAGTGAAAACAACTCAGAGTTCCCAGCCTGGAGCAGCTCACCTGCATCCACCCAGCAGAGCTGAGATGAAAAGGCATCGAAGGTCAGCCCGTTGGGCAAGCCCAGGTCATCCTGCACAAGAATCCTCCGGTTCGTACCATCCATATAGGAAGTTTCAATTTTGGGGCTATCTCTGTTCCAATCTGTCCAATAAAGGTTCCTGGAGGAAGAGAAGGTAAAAGAGAAATAATGAATACGCATAAGGAAATGCTATTGGGGGCACAGAGCTTATAAGTGGTGCTCAGAGGGGTCTGTGGCAACTCCTGGCAATACTTAGCCAATCAAGACAGCAGTTAAATACAAGGGCCTGAGGATGTAGCTGCAAAAGTAGTGAGAGACTTGGGGTTATCTGGGCCACCCTACAAATGCTTGAGGTTCTTCACTGATGCTTGAGGGTCCATGGAGTGACGGGGTTGAACTGGTGCGAGCAATATGCAAGGCATGTTCCCTAACCCCTGTACTAACTACCTGTCCCCAAGTCAGTAATATTTTAAATAATAATTTAAAAAAGGAACAAAACACTTAATGTCCCCATGGTGAGAAGCAACAATTTCCACAAATTTTCTTCTACGGGAATTTTTTTTTAATTGAATCACTGTGAGATACAGTTACACACTTATAAACGTTCATGATTATGTTTCAGTCATGCAGTGATCGATCGAGTAGCCATCCTTCCAACAGTGTCCATTCTCTACCACCAATGGAAGTATTTTTAATCATTATGTTAGACATTTAGGGGTAACAAGCAATATAGAATAAATTATTGTGGGTGTGCTACAGGGGCAGGCATGAGGGGTGGTTGAAAAAATAGAGACAATGGTGAAGGGAAGGTGACAGTGGTGGTGGGATTGGTTATTATTGAATGCCTGTAATAAATCATTATGAACAACTTTGTAAATCACGGTGTTTAAATGAAGTGTGTGTGTGTGTGTGTGTGTGTGCGTGTGTGTGTGTGGGGGGATAAAAGAACACCCTGGTTCCATCTCAGGCACTGCTTATGGTCCCCAAGTACTATCACCAGGAGTGATCCCTAAGCACAGAGTCAAGAGTAAACAATGAGCACCACTGGATATGCACCAAAACTACACCAAACACTGGAGAAGAACTGAGGAAGAAAACACTAGCAGATGAGGTAATAACAAATGATTAAAAAGGAGATGATAAGCAACATCTTCCTTTGCAAAGACACTGGGATGTGGTTCTTCACTTGAATTTTGTTCTGCTATTACTAATGAATTAACTTTCCTTAAATGTAGCACTGTAACACTGTCCTCCCGTTCATCAATTTGCTCGAGCAGGCCCAGTAACGTCTCCATTTTGAGACTTGTTGTTACTGTGTTTGGCATACTGAATACGTCACAGGTAGCTTGCCAAGCTTTGCCGAGTGGGCGAGATACTCTCGGTAGCTTGCTGGGCTCTCCGAGAGAGGTGAAGATGGCCGGGCTGGCTGCACACAAGGCAAATGCCCTACTGCTGTGCTATCGAAGTCACATATCTCAAAGAAGCTTAATAAAGTAAGACATCATAACTCACAGACCATGATTAACACAAACCAGAGGAATCCCCACATGCTGTTAGCCTGCAGGGGCAAGGCACAGAGGTGTAGAAGAGGCCATGGCTAGACTTTGTGTGAGGAATGGGTCAAGTGGCCATAGGAGAAATGGTCGCCAGAGGTCTGGAAAAGAGCTTCAAGGTCTTTGAAAAGCCCAGAGTTTAATCCTGGCACCATTTCCCATCCCCTTCCCCTACCCCAGCACTGCTGGTGTGGGCCTTGTATCCCTTGAGCACTTAACTTGTATCCCTTGAGCACTTAACTGGCTCGGTTGGCTGTTTACCACCTAGAGTATTTATCACCTAGAGTGGCTTCTGAGCTCATTGAGCATTGCTTGGGTGGACATCACACCCAGCCCCACTGTCAAAAAAAATGTGGCCTTAAAAGGAAGGAATCAAAGTGTCAAAGAGCCAAGAGCCTGTTATATTAGGCTGCAGGAAGAGAGTGATGCATGACCGGCTGGCAAATCTCACAGAAAGATGACTCCATGATGGTCATGCTGGGGTGGCCCTGAAGGACCCCAGGCATACATTTGTATCATTTTGGAGATCTGGGAGTTTTATGCCACCTAGTTATTCTCTGGGGTTAATAAAACAATGAGTGATGATTCATAATCAACCCAACTGGAAAGACTCAATTATAGACCTGTTAGCTTACAAATTTCTGGGTAAAAGATCTGAAAGCAAAATACGATATGAAGTCCATGATCACCAAAGGCTGTAATTAATGCCTTGGCATTTCACCAGAATATCTATAAACTAAGATCAACTCATGCTCCTATACTCAAGCCTTTCAGGAGAGCAGTGCTGGAGTTGAAGTCGAACAGAGTATTTCCAAACAGACAGAAGCAAATAGAAGAGATGCACATAATCACAGTCACACAAAATTACCCTCCTACAGAATCTGTCACAATGCCTCTGGGATTCACCAGACCAGTCTCAAACAGTATCCGGCGCTGGGAACCATCCAGTTTTGCCACTTCTATTCGATCCAGGTTAGAATCTGTCCAGAAGATGTTGCGGCCAAGATGGTCTATTGCAAGACCTTCAGGGCTTCCAAGATCTAGAAGTAAACAAAGAGCACTTTAGATTTTTAAAGCTGGCAAGATTTTTTTCCTAAAATTAATTAATGTGAAATGCTTATTGTTTATAAGTAGCCCTTATAAATGATTAACCTGTTATTTCAAAGTAACCATAGAAAATTAATGTGAAATTTTTTGTATATGCAATCCTTTAAGTGAGAAATTTAAAAAATGCCACTCACTCATTTATTCCCTTGATGGACATCTACCCTGAGCAAAACTTTGGGAACCAGGACTAATAATGGTATGGATACTATGGTATCCTGCCTCTTGGGAGCCGACAGCCAATCACAATCCACATGACTTCCACAGATAAGAATCAGCACATTGTATAAAGGAAGAACAGCAATGGCTTGAGGTGAACTGTGTATAGTTTGTATGGATGGACACTCTGGGGGAGGGGCCAGCAATGATGTCAGGCTTTCTAGGTTAATGAGCTTAGTGTTTATACCACAAAGAGAAGTACATGAAGATTTTAAGACAGGGAATGAAAACAAGACCTGCCATTATTTGTTAAATACTGAAGTGAAATGGCTGTTTCAGAGAAATAACATAGTAAAAAGAATAATGGCATTCTTGACTTTTCTACAAGTAACAGGAATGCATTAGAAGAGTGTTTAATGATTTCAAATTAAAACTTACAGGAGTCTTTGTTATTGTTTTGGGGTGGTGAGGTGGTGTTTGTTGGTTTGGTGCTTGGGGATAGCTCTTTGTGGTGTTGCGGGGGCAGGTGATGCCAGGATTGAACCTGGGGTTTTTACATGCAAAGCATGGACTCCAGTCCACTGAAATATCTCTTCAGCCCTTTACTGATTCAAATGAAGGGTTGAAACAGGGTGAGCTGACTACAGTGTGAACTTCTAAGTGCCACTTAGCTGAATCAGTGTTCAAAATCGCAGTGACTTCCTGCCTATATAATCAAAAGAAAAATAACCCTTTGGGCTAGAGAGATAATACTGAGGTAAGGCATCTGCCTCACACATGGCAATGCTGGATTAATCCCTGGCACTGCATATGGTCACCCGAGCACCACCAGGAGTGTTCCTTGAGCATAGCTAGGTGTGGCCCCCAAACCAAAAGAAAAACCAAACTAAAAACCCAAAAAATGACCCTCTAATTTTATTAATATCACTTAGGATTCTTTCCCAGCTACTGGTTAGAGGACAGGTCATTTCATTTGGGTGGAAACATAGGCAAAAAGGGGAAAGACCAAAGATAGAGCCACCCCTCCCCCCACCCCGAGGGATCTGGGGAGTAGAAAACCATGCCCACTTTGTCAGCCACCATATATAGGCCCCTAGTCCTTTAGTCTCTGCCTTCACAGACCTAACATGATGGAGTGGAGGGGGAGTGTGGGTGGTTGTAGATGCCAGAAGCATTAAAATCCGTGGGCAGACTGCTCTTCCCCCCACCTCCCTAAGTTAATTAAAAATTAGAAACAGCCTTTGACAAAGTATTTATGGTTCAAACCAAAAGTAGGATTTACAGAGTTTCCAAATATCCTCCATCCCTAAGGGGCAAGGGTAGCAAGGTTGACACCAAAGATGTTCTCAGACTTTCAGACAAAGCCAGAATAAATTCTTCTGGGATATATTTGGAATGAGCACATCCTGTGTGAGATGGAGCTACTGGGACACACCCAGAAACCGTGGAAAGGCTGTTCTGGGAGTCTTTACAGGACTCCTGAGAGCCTCTGGAAGGACCCCCTGAGCAAGGCCTTTGCTCTACCACTGAGCTACCTCTCCAGCCCCAGGAAATACTGCTGAATGAGCTCCAGAGTCCAGTGCAAGGTCTGGAAGACTTTAAGAAAAGAAAGAGAAGGATTCAGATGTAGGATTCAAGTGATGAACTATGAAATAAAGGACAAAGAGGAAGAGAACTCCCCCCTGCCTCGCCCCATCCTATGCCCCTTTCACCCCTGGGGACATCCCATCATGTACCATGGCTTTTTTCTTTTAAATCTCCCCCGCCTTGTTTTAAATTTAAAAAAAAAAATTCGCAGTAACTAATCTTCTAATTCTGTTTTATATAGCGGGCTTTTGTCAAAGTGTTTCTTACTGCACTTGAAACTTGAAGCTTTCTTGCATGACTGTCAGCTCCAGAAACAGCAGGAAATAACAAATAATGAGATCTTCTGGCACTGGGTTTTTAAAGTCAAATCAAAGATATTATAACACAATTTTAAATAGATGAGATGCAAAAGGCATTTTAAACTTCTATTCATTACATCAAAGCATAAAAAGGAGTCAACTTTATTTTAAATGTGTCTGCTTCCAGGAAAGTTCAGGGTTTACGTCCAAAGCCAAATGTCTTTATTTAAAATAATGTTTTATAAAGGTCATACCCAGGGACTCAAGTCACTTCTGTCAGTACAGGGGGGCTGTGCTATCCAGAGGTCCCTGGCCCCAATGTCAAATATCTTCAATTCAATCTCCGATCAATCCCTAATCCATCGACTGTTTTTTTGTTTTGTTTTTGTTTTGTTTATGGTGAGGGGGGTGGGTGGGGCACACGCCCAGCTGTGCTCAGGGTTTTCTCCTGGCTCTGCACTCGGATCTCACTCCTGGTGGCTTAGGGGACCATATGGGGTACCAGGGATTGGACCTGGGTCAGTCATCTGCACAGCAATCACCTAACATGCTTTACTATCTCTCCAGACACAGAAGAAAGGGAAAAAAGCCTCAGGGGTTGGTCAAAACACAAGTCCTTCAGAAGTATTAAATCTTAGGAAGTGCTAAATTTGAAATAGGAAAAGTTCCATTCAGGCCCAATTGCAAATGAAAAATGTCAGCAAAGCTCCCATATTTTAAAGATGTACATTTGATTTAAATGTTATGCAGAAGTAAGAATGATTGTGCAAAGCAGATATTACTGGCATGACAATGTCTTTTGAGCAAAAATATTCCCAAGTCAGTGGATGAGTCATTGATTTAGCAACAAGTTAGTAATACTTGACCTTTTCAGTACAGGGAGATTCTCATAGTCCTTGAATTCTCATAAATGCTCTTTAATCTGGGTGAAACATGACCATGTTAAATATTGAAGATGCAAAGAATGCAGACAATAAAAAAATACATGGAAACTTTGTTTTAATTTGGCAACTGTAGTTAAAGAATTGAGGTTAAATATTGAGGGGTAGATTGTGCCAACTCTGATGAACTTTACCACCAAAAATGCAACAACAAAAAAAACAGGAATGGCCGTCATAGGTTTGGTGTGGCAAATTCCTCTGGCAAAGCAATGTGAGCAAGTGTGGGCGGGGAGATGGTGAGGCAGAAAAAAATTCCCATCCTTCACCCCCAATGTTACAAATTGAAGTAATAACCCATTAACCTGATAACCACGTTGGGATTAGCTCCAACTATCAAGAAATGATATCTGAGCCTTTCTTTGTGACTCCCACAACTTTATGACTCAGCAGCTTCTGGGAAAATCTTAGTGGTGCCTCCATTGGGCAGACACTCTGAGAATAGATTCTAGGATTGGCAGGAGATATACAGTCACACTGGATGGTGAATTTGCCCTTTGCTGTTTGTTATGACTGGCTACATAAGCTTTCAGAGAAGCGGCATGTGCCCTGTTTTAATTTTATTCTGCTTAGGCTAGCAACAAGTCCCAGCTGGGGGTGGTCACGATTTGATGAGGAGTACTTGGAACTAGAAGTACTAGAAGGTTAGTAAGGGATATGTTTGAAGTCAAGGACCATATTCTCTCACTGTCTTACTCTGTAAGAGACCATATGCACTCCACTTCCACTCTCTCCCAAGAGTCACTGTGCTGCAATTAGCAAACATCAAAGGGAGATCAATACTTGCTGCCTACCTTGTCGAATGATCGTGGTTGGCTCTCCACCATGCAGACTGGCTCTCCCAATGGAAGGCTCACTGATGTCAGTCCAATAAACCATCTTGTCTACACAGTCGAAGGCCAGAGCAATGATGACTTTATCCTAGAAGTGCAGAGCAGTGGTGAGAGGTGGCCAGCCACCAGCATCTGAGTGACTAATATGATGGAGACCTTGCCTAGCTTATAGGCAGTTTATATTTACAAATTTTTAAAGTATTTTCATGTTTCTGCCCATTAAAAATATTAACTATTGAGTTATGATATGTATTTCAGGTAAAAATATTTTTTCATATATGAGTATGTGTTTTGAATTATATGTATATATTCTATCAGTATGTATCTTGAATTTTCATTTTTATGTTTGTTTTTGGATTTTGGGGGGGAGGGTCTCACCCAGCTACGTTCAGGAGCCAGAGAGATGGCAGAGTGGGTAAGCCTGGCACCTTATATGAACCCCTAGCACTGCTAGGAGTGATCCCTGAGTGCAGAGCCAGGAGTAAGCCTAAAACAAAACATGTGACCCAAAAACAAAAACAAAACAGCTGTGTTCAGGACTTCCTCCTGGTTCTGCACTCAGGGATCACGCCTAGTGTGGCTCGGGGAACCATATGTGGTGCCGGGGTTCAAACTGGGGTCAGCTGCACACAAGGCAAGCACCTGAACCTCTGGACTATTTCTCCAGCTCCAATTTTTCATTTTTAAATGGCACTTTAAGCCTACAGAACTGAGTATACCATGACAGGGGACTTGGTGTGAGGTGGGCCGAGGAAGGAAACACTTTTGTATGCATAAATAAATATATTAACTGAACTGTACATCACAGCTCCTCAAGTTAAAAATTAAATTTTATTTAGTTTGGGGGCCACAGCTGGTGCTGCTCAGGGGAAACTCCCAGCTCAGGTGCCAGTCATGGTGACAGTAAGGGGACAGACAGGGCCAGGGATCAATGACCCCACATCAGGGCTGCGGCTATCTCTCTGGCCTTTAAAGTGGTGTTTTCATTTTACCCTGGGGGGCTCCCAAATGATACTCATCAGAGGTCACCCTACCAATTCTTTACCAAATGGGGTGGCAGTTCAATGCCTGGAGATGAGATACTGTCAGTCACCAACGGTAGGGATACCCATGTCATTGCAGGGCTTCTGGTGGGGGACCAATGAGGTGCTGGTATTGAATGTGGGTTGGGCGCATGCCAGGCCTGTGTTCTAGCTGCAATAACTGTCACAGGCCCCTAAATGGCATTTTTTAAGATCAAAATTTTTAGTCTTTATTGAATCCAAATTATTATTATTTTTTCTCTTCTAATGTTTAGGGCTAGGGCTGGAGCAATAGCACAGCAGTAGGGCTGCCTTGCACGCAGCCGGCCTGGCCGAGCCGGGTTTGATTTCTCCACGCCTCTTGGATAGCCCAGCAAGCTACAGAGAGTAACTTGCCCGCACAGCAAAGCCTGGGAAGCTACCCGTGACATATTCAATATGCCAAACACAGTAACAAGTCTCACGATGGAGACATTACTGGGCCCGCTCGGAGGACCATGACCATGACCGTGAATGTTTAGGGCTGGAGCGATAGCACAGTGGGTAGGGTGTTTGCCTTGTACGCAGCCAACATGGCCGACCCGAGTTCAACTCCTCCACCCCTCCTGGAGAGCCCAGAAAGCTAACAAGAGTATCTTGCCAGCACGGCAAAGACTGGCAAGCTACCCTTGACGTATTTGATATGCCAAACACAGTAACAACAAAGTCTCACACTGGAGACGTTACTGGGCCCGCTAGAGAAAATCGATGAACAATGGGATGACAGTGACAGTGACAGTGAATGTTTAGGGCTGGAGCGATAGCACAGCGGGTAGGGCATTTGCCTTGCATGTGGCTGACCAGGCCGACCGGAGTTCGATTCTTCCGCCTCTCTTGGGGAGCCCGGCAAACTACCGAGAGTAACTCTCCCGCAAGGCAAAGCCTGGCAAGCTACCCATGACGTATTCGATATGCCAAACACAGTAACAAAAGTCTCACAATGGATGTTACTGAGCCCACTCGAGCAAATCGATGAACAATGGGAGGACAGTGCTACAGTGCTACAATGTTTTAGGTACACTGTCTAAGAAAATTTGACTTATAAGAATATGAGAAATAAAAATTCTAACACATGATGGCTTCTATAAAAAATTCTGGGGAAACCTCTAAAATGATTACAACTAATAATCACATTTAATGAGGCTGCACGATAAAAGAACAGTATATAATTTTATTTGTACATTCTAGCAAAAAAAATTTAAAACAATGTGCACTCATAGTAGCTTTAAAACAAGGGGGCAGTGCAATAGCAAAGTGGGTGCAGCATTTGCCTTGCATGTGGCCGACCCGAGTTCAATTCCCGGCATCCCATATGGACCCCCAAGCACCGCCAAGAGTAATTCCTGAGTGTAGAGCCAGGAGAAACCCCTGAGCATCACTGGGTGTGATCCAAAAAGTGGAAAAAAAAAAGAAAAAAGTGTTTAAGAATAAATAATTTTTTAAAATGCAAGGAAGTCAGGGGCTGGGAAGGTAGGTCAATATGCTGGTGTGTGTTTTGCACATGGGAGGCCCAGATCAGTCCCTAAACTACATGGTTTCTGGGAGTGAGCACGAGGCACGGCACCTCCCAATACAGCCCCCAAACAAAAACAACCAAAGGGCGAAGAATTCTAGAGCGGGTTGCCCCCCACAAGAGGCTCTTCAGCACAACCATGGCCCCAGAGGCACACGAACCTAATTCGGAACCCAGCAGCTTCTGGCAGAAATGTGAATGGACTATGCATTAAGCTATGGTGCCGTGCCCCACCGGGAGGGAAAGGGTGTCTGTCTCTTCCGCCTTTTTCCCCCTGGCAGCCTGGTGGTCGCCGCCTCAGAGCTTATTGGACAGCCAGGTATGAGCCAGCGGTGATGGGGCAACTGCGGCCTCATGGGATGGGGGGCGGAACAGGCACATCCTTCTTGCCCTGCCGAGACCATGAGTTGTCCCCCATGAGCGGCTCTCTGGTATGGCCATGGACCCAGAGGCACACAAATCAATCTTGGAACTATTCGGCTTTTGGCAGACATCCTTCCAGACTTAATTAGTAAAATATCAGAAATCCAAAATCCAAAGACATCATGTGGTCTCCATAACCAGCAATAGAAAACAAATTATTTCATAATACCTTTGAGAGCCCGGCAAGCTACCGAGAGTATTCAATATGTCAAACACAGTAACAAGAAGTCTCACAATGGAGACGTTACTGGGCCCGCTTGAGCAAATCGATGAACAACAGGTGGACAGATGATACCTTTACAGCAGGTTTGACTGTTGGGGGAAAATTCCAAATAATAATAGTGCATCTTTTGTCGAAATAATGAATGCAATCAAAGTAGAGAGAGAGCTAAGTGGAAATCATCTGCCTCATAGGCACAGGGAGGGGTGGCATGGGGGGCATATCGGGGCTCTTGGTGGTGGAAAATATGCACTGGTGAAGGGATGGGTGTTTGATCATTGTATGACTGAGATTTAAACCTGAAAGCTTTCTAACTGTTCTCACGGTGATCCAATAAATAACTAAATAAATAAATAAGAAAATGAATAAATAAGAAAATGTCAGAAGCATGGACAGTGCTACAGTGCTTCTGACATTTTCTTATTTATTCAGTCAGAAGCAAAAAAAAAAAAAAATCCAGACTATCACTATCACTAAGCGAGAAGGCAAAAATCAAAGCCAGGGGCTATAGGAGCCCATGTCTGATCTCTGAAAAGCTCTTCCAGTTCTGCTCCGACCTCTTGAAATCACAGAGGCAGAGTAGGAATACATCCCTGTGTTATCAGCCCAGAGAATGAAGATGTCTCTGGGTCAGGGGTCAGGTCCTAGTCCCCACCACCAGGAGGTCACAGAATGTCCCCCAGCATAGTAAGCAGCACTCACCGGGGCGTGGAGCAGCGTTCTGGCTTCCATCTTCTTCATAGTGTTTCCCTCCAGGGGAAGGTGCTCTATCTTCCCCGTCTGGGCAAAGAGCAAGTGGGTTCCGGGGGGCAGGGGGATCACGGCAGTAGGAACGGGGGGCCCGGGGTGAATCGGGGGAGCTACTGTACTCAGACCTGTGGGGCAGGAGATGTCAATGAGCAATGCCGGTGTGCAACAGAAATGAACAAAGCACAAGCAGGAAGAACCTGTACACATATGCACACAGACATGCACACATGCACAAATACACACACACACACACACACACATACACACACGCACATACACACACAACCACACTGGTCAAATCACCCTCCGGGCACCATCAAATGCACAGTGACATAATTGTTTTATATGTGAAAGTGCATGGAGCAGAAGGTTCCAGATCATGGGTGCATTTGTGCAGGAAAGAATGCAAGGCCTGAGCTGAACATTAGAGGTCAGGTCTTGGGGCGGAAAGGCTGAACTTTCTCCTTAACCAAAATCACCGCTTTTCAGGCTTTGCTTTGGACTGGGCCAGCAAGGAGCAACAGCTCCTTGGCCTCCCGACCCCTCAGGAACTTACCTTCCAGGGGAAACACTGTCTGAGGCCCTGCCCACAGGCAGGCCCTGCCTGACAGAACCACTCACTCTGGGCTCCCAAGAGGCAAATGGGAATCAGAAGTTGATTCTCTCTCACTTCTAGCCTTACCCTGCAACTCCTGACAGGCCCACTCCGTAACAAAAGGTTCTGGGAGGGAGAACAGGTGTCCTGCACTGTGTGTTCGGAAACGCACCCTATCCTCTCAGCTGTATGGATGACTTGGGGACCATCTTGGGCTGCCCTATAGAGTGAGAGCTGAAAGGAGCCCCTGATGGGTCATTTTCAGATCTTTCTCAGGTCTGCCTGCCCATTAGACCCTGGCAGCGGTCTATGCAGTCAGAATCAAGCAACCTGAGTTGACGGCTCCAGGCTCGAGCCCCCCTCTCTAAACTCATGCCAGGCCACCTGGAGTGGCCTTTTCCACCTGGATCAGCTTGAACCTCTGTGATGGGCCCCCCCTTCCCCATATCAGTGCCTCTCATGGCTCTATCTCAGCCTCCTCTGTCCAGTCAGTGATATTCCTAAAACTAAAACCCAATCAAAGCAGTGCCTGCATGAAACCCTTTCCAAGTTGCGCACTGCACCCAGGGTCCTCAGTGGGGAACCGTCCCCTTGACATCCCTCAGATTCTTTCCTCTGCCCAGGATGACTGCGTGAACCAGCTCCTCTTCCCTGGGGCCACCACCTCAGGCCCTGCTCCAAGCTAGCTTCAATGCTGCTGCTCTGAAAAGGTTCCTGGTGGAGCCCCCTCTGTTTTTTTTTTTTATAAGTTAGTTCGTAGTGTTTGATTACATTCACTATTCAAACACCAATCCCACCACCATTACACCTTCCCACCACCAAATTCAGGATGCTTCCATCCCAAGTGCCAATCCCTGTCCCAAAACACAACCGAAATAATACATTTTGTATTGTCTGTTACGAAGAACTGCTGAACATGCTTACAAAAAAGTTTTCATATAGGAAACAGTGTGAAGATTTTTCTATTTCAGCAGGAGCCATTAAGACATTCTATAGGATATAGCTAACATGTTGTTAAAGTTTGGGTGATGTGAGCTTTGATATATATATACCTGAAAATATATATATATGCTTATATATATATATATTTCCCTCTATTACTTGTTGCCTACTATCTGAAACCCATCAAATGTGATGTGGTAACTATGGAGAATGGGTAGGGAGTGTTTTATGATGTGTCCAGGAATATGTTTACTCACATGTGAGGCTCGGTCCAAGTGTATGGGGAGTGGCCTTGAGCATGGCAGCAGTTGGGTTGTGGAGGTACATGGCTGCCGAGCTGGGTCCCTGGGTGTGGGGAGGGCTCTCACCCACCCCCCTCTGTGCTCCCGGCCATCCTCTGCCAGCACAGCCTCGCTTCCTACATAGCACACCTGTGCACCTGGCTTCTGAGGCCCCAGGGACCAGCTGTGTGACTTCTCTAGAAATGCCCCGCACTGCCTGGAGCTGCAACCCCTCAACTAATGCTGACTGGATGAGTAAATGGAGCTGTGAGCAGTCACCAGCCTCTCAGCTGCTTTGGGAAAATGGCTTGCAGGATCATTTATGATTATTCGTTAAACTGAGCATGGAGAGTCACTGGATCCCATTGATCACGATCATTGACTGACTGGACTTGGTCACAGCATTTTCTGGCAATGTCAAGAAGTTGCTGATACTGAGGCAAGTATCTGTGTCCAGAGTCACTAAGCACAGCAGGGGACTCAGACAGCATACTCCAATTCCCAGAATCGCAAATCTTTTTTTATCCTTTTTTTTAGGGGGGGAGGGTCACACCCAGAGATGCACAGAGGTTACTCCTGGCTCTGCACTCAGGAATTACTCCTGGCAGTGCTTGGGGAACCATATGGGATGCTGGGATTTGAACCTGGGTTGGCCGCGTGCAAGGCAAATGCCCTACCCACTGTGCTATTGCTTCAGCCCCCAGCACAGCAACTTCCTGCTGCCGCGGGTGGGTGCAGAGAGAGCCCACAGGAGCCTCTTGGATCTTAAAACCACAAAGGGCTTGCTCAGACTTACAGGGAGGCCTGGTCCCGGGCCTGGTCCTGGTGCCCTCCACCTCCCGGCCGTCTCGATCCACACACCAGCAGTAGCCCGTGCTGCCGTGGCACTGGGTGGGCACATACTGTCCATGCTCGTCGCACTCAGGGACAAACAGGCCAGGTGGCAGGGGCCGCTGGGAGTCAACCCGTCCAGCTGCACCCAGGATGTGCTCTCGCTCCTGCTGACACCGGGTCTTCTCCACTTCTACAGGGAGACAAGAAAAGGAGAGAGTCAGCTGGTCAATGTCCATCTTCATGATCAAAAGGAGGCAGTCAGCTGACCAATGTCCATCTTCATGGTCGCTGCCTCCAAACCCCTGCACCCAACTCAAAGGCATCAAGTCACCTGGTCATCACCGTGGTTTTGATTTCTTATTTTTTTCATTCTTATTTCATTGTCATGATGGTTCATATTTCCTTGTTTCTCCTAAGCAACTTTTTTTTGTGCTTAACTAGATTTTTTAATTTTTTAAAAAATTTTTATTAAGTGAAACACCATGAGGTACAGTTGTAGACTTACAAATTTTTGTTCTTGATTTCAATTATACAATGATCAAATACCCATGCCTCCACCAGTGCCCATTTTCCACCTTTTATTAAGAATTTTTTTTTAATTGAGGGTTGGAAAGCGAGTACAGGAACTACAGCACTTCCTTTGCATGCAGCAGACCCTGGCAGATACCTGGCACTGCAAAGGGTCACGCAGAGCACTTCCAGGGTCACTCCTGAGCTCAGAGCCAGATACAGCCCTTAAGCACCTCTTGTGTATGGTCCCAAGCCCTCCCCCACAAGCCCTGCAAAGAAAAAAAGAGAGAGAGAGAGATACACCCAGCAGAACCATTAACCATTTCAAAATAAAGTTTAGCAGCATTTGTTTCCATCTCTGCGATGCTGTCTGATCACCACTTCTATCATTTCCCATGCATTTTCTCATCTCAGAAGGAAGCACTCGGCTCTCTGTTTCTCCCTCCCTCCCAGCCCTGGTAACCACTGATCTGTGTTCTGCCTCTCAGGACATACCTCTTATGGGCATTTCATATAAACAGAATTGCAGACTATGCGACCTTTTCTTTCTGGTTTTTTAAATCAGCAGAATATTTTATTTCTTATTTTGTATGTGTGTGTATGGCTGAGAAGGGAGTTGGGCCACACCCAGCAGTGCTCAGAGACCGTATTTGGTGCCAGAGATCAAACTGGGCTCAGCCACATGCAAGCCAAGTGCCTTGACCCTTGGATCATCTGTCCTGCTCCCTCAGCAGAATGTTCCCAAAGTCTACCCATGTTGTATTGTGCATTCATACTTCATCCTTTTTGTGTGGTTGAATAAATTCTATAATTTGGCTGCATGTTTTGTTCAGCCATTCATCAGTTGGTGTACACCACTGAAACTTTTCTAAAAAAATGTTGTTTTTTGTTGTTGTTTTTGCATATTGAGTCACTCCTAACGATGCTCAGGGGTTACTACTGCTCTGCCCTCAGGAATTACTCCTGGCGGTGCTCGGGGGACCATATGGGATGCTGGGGATCGAACCCCGTTCGGCCGCGTGCAAGGCAAATGCCCTACCTGCTGTATTATCTCTCTGGCCCTAAAAAATGTTTTAAAAAATTTGTTTTGCAGGCTACAGCTGCTGGTGCATTTGAGTGACGGGGAGAGGTACCAGGGATGGCAGCAGGGCCTCACACAAAACGAGCTGTGTGTTCTACTGCTTGAGCCATATCCTGGCTCTAGAAATTTTTTTTTTTAAATCTGTGATCTTAACTTCTTGCTAACCCACACAGAGTCAAGTTCAAAGCTTTGCGAGTCAAAGACTACAGGAACCATTTGCCAGCACTCTGTGTTTCCCTCTTTGAGCAACTCAGAGCCTCAGGCAGAGAGATGCTTCTGTCTCTGCAGGAATGCCTGTAAAAAGCTGAGGCCAGCGATAAACAGCTCCCAATGCAGAGAGTGGCAGCTGCCCATGCTCACCGAGTCCTGCCCACCGCAGGGGCAGGCTCGTGGAGGCACCGTCTCTGCTGAATCTGCGACACTGAGCAATGCCCATACACTGGCAGAACAACTATGGGTGTGGAGAACAATATTTCAGTCAAACTGAACAGCATTTGCTGTACTGATGCCCAGTCCAGTAAATCCTGTTCAGGATTGATTTTCTTCAGGAAGCCTTTCCAGGAATAGGCACAGTGCCACTCCATAAACTTCTGAGAAACTCGGGATTTGCTCTGCATTGCTTGTTAGCCATGTGCTAAGACCCTAAGGGCAGTTCCTTGTCTGTCTCCTCAACCCTAGGCACTGAGGCTAGTAAGTGGCTAAGTTTCCTCAAACCTGACTCAGTAAACACCTACTGAGCTGGAGTGCATGTACCTATGGGAATAACCCACAGGGTCTGCCCTGCAAGGACCTTCTGGCGTGGAGAGAAGACAACGGAAAAGGGAACAGTTACAATTCCCTGACTGTCTTGACAGAAGATCCCAAGATACAACAGATACACAGCAGAGAGTCTCTCTATCAGTTCAGGGATTCTTTCCGACTGACCTTCACTGAAAGACTGTATCTTAGCAATTAGGGTAGGTCTTCCCTACACCTACTTCACCTACTCTACCCTTCAAGCAGAGAACATGTGTGATTGGCTGTGTTGGGCTATATGATCTCTGTCACAACTATTCCACTCTGCAGTTGTAGCATAAAAGAAGCCAAGTAATATATGAATGAATGAATGTTCCAGTAAAACTTCATTTACTAAAACAGCCTAATGGGCCAGATTTGGCCTGTGACAACTGTAGCCAACCCCAGCTGTAGGGCATTACTAGTTAGGCCAGTGAGAATATTAACATGAACATGTGCTACTTAACACATTGATGTCTAATAATACCATATTCAATAACAGAATACATAAAAACTATTTTATAGAATTTTGTGTCTCAAAGTGGTTTTGATTATTGGTTCCATTACATCTGGTTATCTTGGGCACATCAGCAAAGCTGATTAACTGTAGCTCCCTTGACTCTATAAAAGGGGTAAGCAGCAAGAACTAATCTCAGTATGGGGCCAGAGCAAGAGCACAGTGGCTTGTCCTCCATCACCCTGAGTAACACTGGAGAAATTCCTGAGTGCAGCTCTAGGAGTAAACTCTGAGCACTGCCAGGTGTGACCGCCACCCCTACCCCCTTTCAAAAAAAAGAACTAATCTCAGTATTATTTTGAGAAATTAGTGGAATATGTTAAGGCAAAATGCAGAGAAAGAGCTTTAAGTTTCATATTCAGAAGTTCATTTGTGACAAAATAAAAGCCTTCTCAGTGACATGTGTTGCCAATAAATGTTTAAAGCACTTTTATCTGTGTTGCCAGTTCTCATGTTAGCCTGCTTAGCATGGCTTCTCCCTTGACTATAAGCAATTAGCACGCCAGAAAAGTGTTTGTTGAATCTGGCGAGGGGAACTGAGTATTATTTTCTTTTGTCCCAGAGGCTAAAATAAAAGAAAACAAAACATACTTGATGTAGAAGAGCCAAAGAAAGATATAAACATGCCATCTAGTTAAGAATACCAAAGCTGTTGGGTTTGTTTTCTGTTTGGGGGTGGTAGTAGTTTGGGCCACATCCACAGAACTCAGTGCTTAATCCTCATTCTGTGCCAAGAGGTTACTCCTTGTGGGGCTCAGCAGACCATATGGGCAAGGCAAATGCCTTAATCTCTGTACCATCTCTCCAACCCCTAAAGTTGTTTTTCTTCCTTCTTAATGTGGAATTTATTTCTTTACTCTCTTACAGGGTTTCCATTTAAGTTGTCCCATTCATCCACATATTACTTTTAAGGCCCACTAGAATCCTATACAATATGTAACTATGTTTTTATACCCAATGAGCCAGAAGCTCAGTTTGGTTCAAGGGCCCCCGTAGGCCACTAAGTCAGTGGCTCAGTTTATGCTAGAAGTTGGGTCTTTGGATTTCAGCCCAGCTCCACATCCTTCAGCCCTATATGCCTGGAGCTCAGAATGGCTCATACACAATAAAGAGGCTATGTCAGGAATGATGGACCCACACTAAACACAGAAAGAAAATATCAGCACCCACTGAATTATTTTCCTTATAGCAGTGCCTAGATGTGGTGCTGCCGTTCCACCTAGAAAACAAGCCTGATGTTCTATGGACAACCAACCAAACCAAACTTCTAAATGAATAGGAATTGCTCCAATGTATGTGGCTCATAGTTTTGTGTTGATGGTCTATATAGCCAACATGCAAAATCTCAAGTGATACACACACACACACACACACACACACACACACACACACACAGATACATATAATTGACATGGAACTTAGAAGTACTATCTTGAACTCAAAGATAAAAGAGGGGGTCATCAGTTGTGCCTCACAAAGCAGGACTTAGAGCTTGTTTATAAAAGTCTGGTATCAGTGGGTTTCCTGGGATGGCTTCTCAGCCTATCAGCAGGCCTACAAGGGGAATTTTCCACTGAAGTCTCGTCACTGGGCTGGGAATAAGATGGAGGAACAGTTCTTGATCTTATTTCTGGATGATTAGATAACTCAAGCAAAATCACCCCCAGTTTAATCTGCTCAGAGTAGGAAGTAGTCAAAACTCAATACCTCTCTGGGAAATGGGAGACCTGGGATGACTTTTCTTGAGGCCGGGTATAAAGAGAATGAAAGAAAAATAAAACAGAGAGAGAAGAAAGACAGAAACACATTTTTGGTGTTTGGCTTCTGATTTGCATTCCAGACTCTTACTTAACTTGCCTTCTCAAATAATTTGAATAAATCACCATTGTGGCCCTGAGGGTGAAGGAATCAGTCTGAGGAACTTTGTTCCCGTGGTCTGCTCTGAGTGGAGCTTCCATGCGCATACACTTAGGAAGAGCCAACAAGGGCACAGTGAGTAATGCCGGATCTTCTCCAGCTTCAATTTGCTGACTTGAAGATTTATAGCAGTAGTTGCCAAGTGGACTCTTGTAAGTCCAAGAACTGCCACATTTGCAAGAATGGGAATTTACAAGCAGACAATGGCAACCTGATACATTCTTTATCCTTATGGTCTCAGGGGTTAACTCTGAATGCCATCATCAAAAACAATGATGATGGGGAAATGTAGCTACTTAAGAACTCTCCTCTAATTGTGTCCAATATTTTACCCCAGCCTTACAGAAGGAGAAAGCCTCAGGAGGGAAGATGAGTCTGAAAAAGCAGAAAA